GTATCTAAACAATATTATTATATTAATTAATTAAATTACTGATTCTGAATCTGAATGACTCCTAAATTTAAATAATTAAATCTAACTTTTTAATATGTTGGATCATATATTGTTGTATTTCCATCTCCATTGATCCATTCATAAGCATCATAAGTTTTTATTAATATGATCATCTTTTTGATTAAAGAGTCTTAATAAAATGATATAATGGGCATACAAGTAAGTTTTTAGCAGATAATACATAAGTCAATACAAAAAGTGATTTTATTATATTAGATTTAAGTATCATTTCTGTGAATTGTCAAAATAGTATTTTATTTTTGAAAATTTGATTTTGAATTTTGATAGTATTTTTGTTTAATTTATATCTATATTTATCTTTTTGAGATATAACATGATACAAATGTATATTGTAGTAACATATTGCATTATAGAACAGGTATCTTTGCTTCAATCTAGTATTTGTAAGTTTATGGAATTGTTTTTAACTTCATTTCAATGTATTTTCTTAAGTTTTTTCCAACCAATAAATCGGTTATGAACATTAAAATCCATCGGACCTAATATTCCTTTCACAACCTTCAGTAATTCTATTTCAAAAGATTCTTAAAATACTACAGGATCTTAAAGCAACATTTGAAGATGAATGGTATTTATCAAATTTTTAATCTAAAATTAAATTATAATTACCTCTTTATTCTTATATAAGTTGATAATATCTGGATTTAATTTAACCAACTAGATGTCAGAAGATAATGTTGTTTGATGAAATCAAAATATACTTTATTTTGATTTGTTTTTTGTATTTTTGAGTGAAACACCAAATGGTTATCAGAATTATTCCCACTTATAACTTGCTTATGAGCCAGATGCTAGTTGTTGAATTGGACAATATTCATTCAATGTTTAATCCAAAAATAGTGCAGGATAGTTCAATATTAATTTCCCTACTATTTTAAATTTTCTTTGATTGAAATTTATTCAGCAAAATTATAAAAATAAAACTTCATTTATAATAATTAACTATAAAAAAAGATATTATTTTAGTAATTTCTTTATCTCATTTTCGGTTTTGATCTAATAAAATCTTTTTATGAATTCTAAAATAGAATGAGTATTTATTAGTTTAGTTCTATAATTTATTTAGATTAATGTTGCTATTAATTAGAACAAAATACACTTTAAAATCATTTTAAATTTAATATGTTTGAGTCATTAATATATCATATATTGGCTTCATTAAATTTATCTTTTCAAAATATTCTTTCATGCCTCGCTGTTCGAATTATATATCAAATCCTTTAGCTTATTAATAGATTATAAAAAAATTAATGCATAATAGGTATTGCTGTATTTTCAAGCCTGTGTTGAACGATCTATTGGAATTAGAAATTGTAAAAAATGTTATTTTGGTGTCAATTTTTAAATTAAAATATACGATAGGTTAATTTGATTAATTTGCCACTTGCATTATCTGGATTTTAAATCAACTAATCAATTATCCTCTAAAATCAAAATTCTTAATAATTAATTTCAATGTGTATTAAAATTAATGAATAAAAGAAATGGAAAAACTAAGAGATTAGGAGGACTATAAAACTTTTAATATAATAATTTGAGAATTGCAAATATATAAGAGAATTACAGTTTAGGATGAATGATAAAGTAAAATAGAGATTTTTCAAATATGATAAAACAACTAAAATTTATTTATCAAAATTAACAGACAAAATTTATGTTTCAGATAGAAGAATTAAATCGTATTTTGAAAACTACAAAATTTAGTTCTTATTCTCCTTTTAAATTTGTTCAATTCTCTGCAAACGTAAGAAACTCACCATCTTAATTATATTGAGGGAATGAATTAATTATGTTTTATTTTAAAATAGTTGTGCCATTTCTTTTCCAGTTAATTCTGTTAATTCTTATATATTACCAAAAATAAATTAAATTCATAAAATTATTTGGCAAGTAATTTAAATAATTAATTTTTGACTCTCGAATTTGGCAAAAGGATCTTATAAATTAAATACAAGTACTTTAGATATAAACTAATTCTTTAATGAAACTATTCCAACTGGCAATAATTTCATAAAAAGATAAAAATTTTCGATATTTTCAAAATATTTGATCTAGGTAATAATACCACAAATTAAAATTGCAATTCGAATTAATTTTAATATTGATTGCTAATTTAACAAATGCATAAAATAAAATTTGATGAAACAAATGGATAAAGTTACTTTTGCAAAATTTTCTCTTCTAACATTCATTATAATGCTTGTTATCTGTGATTTAAAGTATATTGACTGCCAAAAAGAATTTGTCATTAATGTTAATTTGGATATTATTTAAATTATTTAGATAATTCTTTTTATAGCATTTTAGGTGATAGAATTGTTTGATCAAATGAATAATGTGATGGCAACATATTTCAATCAAGGATGTTAAAACTGCTAGATTCAATGCCAGGAGAATGTCTAAATTGCATATTAGGACAGTGTTATGTATGCAAAGGGGATGGGAGTTAGACTTAGCCTCTAAAGAATGTATGAATAGGATTATAGTACGAAACCAAAATTGTAATGATGGTAATTTAATTCCATTTAATGATTGTTTTGGGGTTTGATTGTCGGGCTGTATAATCTGATAGTCTTTATAATGAAGCATTCTTTTTTGATAATAACTAATTAAGGTTGACATTCGGTTTTTGGAGATGGATTTATTGTTTAGGGCTTAGAAGAATGCGATGTTGAAATAATAGATCAGATGATGAATACAATTAATGTTTATATAAATGTTCGAACTGCTGTATTGATTGGAAAGAAGTATATTGTTAAAATAATAAACTTATTTCAGATGAGGAGGAGATGAATGTTCTTCTTTTTGAAAAATTCATATAAGGTTCATTAAGCTTATCCACATATATCTAAGCCTCTTAATTTAACTTAAATATTCTTTCTAATAAAACAAATTCATTTTAAAATATAGAATTAACTTTCTCTAAATTGATTAATTTAAAGTAAGAATTGTATGAAGAAATTCTTGCATTTGCTCTTACTTCTTAAACAAGGAAGTAATGCAAGTTAAGCCAATAGTAAAATAAATCAAGATCCAAGCACTACTACTACTATTTGAATTAACCTTATATTTATATTTCAAAAAGTTGTTATTTGTATGTCATTGCATCTTTATTAGGTACTTTATTTATTTTCTATTTGAATTAAAAAAATTATGTATACTTTTCAATCTCAATAAATAATAGAAGAAATGTAAATTTTCTATAACTGACTCATTAATTTAAAAAAAAAAGTTCAATACAAGTGCTTAAACTTATTTTTATTTTGAATCTAACACTTAATTTTTGGTTAAATAATTTAGGCCCAGAACCTAATTTTATATCTTAGTTATTGTTAAATTAATCAGACATTGGAAGCACAATCAATATTGCTATCCACACAATAATTCTTATATTTAAAATTCTTAAAACCTATATTTGAACTTTCAAAACTAATATCTAGAGATACAATTTTGGCTTTCAATTTACTAATAGATTTGAGAATAAATCATGAAAATTATTTGAAAAAGAAACAAAAAGAGAAGATGAAAAAATATCCTTTAGATCGCATATAGGGTATCTATAAGAAATCTTGTAAAACTGTTATAAGAAACAATTCTTAGTAGGGCTATGTTTAGAGGGAATGAATGCCTTAAATATTTTTCAATTTATTTACAAATTAATGTAATTTTAATTTAGAGATCATATTCCAATTTTACTAAAAAATTAGATTTTGCAAAACTCAGATTTGCTATATTAAGGATTTTTTGATTTTAAATATCAATAGATTTTTTGAATATATTTTTCAATACCCAAACATATCCATATAATTATATTGATCATGAACTTAGAGAAATATTTGAGTAGATTATAGTGGTTTTTCCATGATTATTCTAAATTTAGAGGACAGATAATGCAAATAAATTTCTCTCTTGTCAAAATGAATATATAACTGTCCAATGTTTAGAGAAAGAAAAAAGATAGAGTATAAACCCCCTAATATGACATTCTGTGCTGATGTCAGTATTTTGTGCTTACACTTATTGAATAAAGTTATGCTCCTAATCGATTGAATCCTAAAATCGAAGTATAAATCTTGTAATACAGGCTTAGGTTGGTCACCTGTCACTTCTTGTACGAAGGGCATCTTTAATGGCCTGGCTAAATAACTGAAGGTTGAACAAGAATAAAAGATAATGAATTTTGTAATTTGTGTTTCAAATTTAATAATATGTAATGTAAAGTTTGTGGTAACTAATCTAAAAGTACATCAAGATATTTGGGGCGTTAACACTTTAAATTTTGAGGATGGAAAACTTTTACGATTCATTTTGTTATTACATTATATTATGTTATCAACTAGTAATAAAGGAATAACTTTGATTAAATATAGATTTATATTGTGAATCATTTTTTTTAGTCAATTTTTTAGAATGATAACAAGAATCTTAATAATCTGATAACAAGAAATAAATATGGAATTTCATTCGTATATTGTTGAAGATCTTACAAAGATATTTTAATTAAACTTTATTCTATATCCAATTAGATATTAAAATAAGAATAAAACTACATTTTATTATAATTCTAATATTTTCATAATGTAAAAATACAGTATAAATTAACTTTAGAATAGCTTGGCTCTCTTATTATTAATAAATACAATAATAGATTAACATATGTGAGTATTCTCAGTATCATTAAAATTTGTTTTGAAAATATAATATAGGAAATTCAAAAGAAACAATTAATTCTATAATTTATTTATATTATTGATATTACTAAAAAATGGTATCAATTATAAACTAAATATATGCATATAAGATAGAATTAAATAAATATTAAATATTAAAAATACTTTTTATGATTATATCTTTTTCATTCTATTATTGTATTCTCTCTTTTCTACTTTCATCTCTCTAATGTAAACACTCCTCTGCATTCTTTTTGTTGTATTCCCAAAAACATTAAATAACCCCCTTATATTTTTAATTTGTGTATTAACTAATGATGTCTTACATACCACAAAGTCTAGTGTGTACTCCACTATAAATCTTGCTATTATATTTGATTGCTTTTGTACTAGAAATCATCCTTATGAATGTTTTACCTGTATTATTCTTTTTTTTTCTCTATAATGATCTTAACCCTCTATTCTACATTTTGTATCTTAGTATCTTTTATGATATTTCCCTCGTCTACCAGTCAAATTCTAATTTACTTTTTATTTCAATTTCCCTATAATATATGTCTACCTTTTTGTTTATCTAATTTTATCTCTTTATCCCATCCACTATTTCAGATCATATGCTGAATAATTCATTACAAACTTTGTGTTTGGAGCCCGCCACTCATCTATAAATCTATCCAATAGTAAGAAGTATCTCCTAAACACATACATAACCAAGTATTTGGGAATTACAGATTTCTGAAATAATATAACTTCTAAAGATCGCTTAAGCTAATCATTTCTAGCTTCTAATGCTTCTTCTTTAAACTATCTATTTGATATGGTTCGTTCTGACTCCTATCTATTCTTATTCTTGAATTTTTTCCTACCTAATTATTTTCTCCCTCTTATTTTATCTTATACTTTATAGATCTTACTCTTTTTATATCTATTATTTTTTCTAATCTCTTATATTTTTATTGTTTTACTCTTAGATAGAGTATCACCATATTTTTAAGACTAATACCTATAACAAACAATTCTTATCTTCTGTAGTGATTCTTCCTCTTCTATTTCTCTAATGTTATTATTTAACATCCTTTCTATCCAACTCTTAATTTATTCTCTATATATTTGACATTTTCTCAATTTTTCTATATTTCTCTTAAAAGAGAATTTTATAAATTTTATATATATCATCAGATTATGTGAGCATTTATGATTAATAATTCAGAAGAATGCACAAATCTGAAAAAATGACCAACGAAGATCATAGATATTTGGTTAGTAAGAACCTCTAGTTTAACCTTCAGATCTTTCTTAAACTATCCTAAATCTAGACCATTCATAATGATTATAAATTTTTTAAAATATTTGCAGCTTTATATTATCATAATTCAATTTCTGAATTAATATATTCCAAATTCCGTGTCTTTTCTTTAAATTTAAAGTGAAAATATAAGAGCAGTAAAAAAATTATTAACAAAAGAGCATATGCCGATGGACCAAAGTTAATACGAAAATCTGAAGGTAGATTAAACGTAACTAAATATGTACCATTCGAAAAATTGTTTTAACAAACAATTGAAACATTTATCTTATCATTATAAAGAAGGCAGGATACATTCCAGGTACTTAAAGAGTAATTATATATAGATTAATTATAAAAAAAAAGGGATGTTACATGTTGATATTCTTAATTTACAATCATTGCATAAGAAAAGTTTGTCGTTATGAATGAACCATACATCAAAATTGGTTCTAACAAATTTTCAACTAAAAGATTATTAAAATAATAAGCTCCAATTATATTTTAAGAATTATTAATATTTTATGTAAAAAATTGTTGCAATAAAACCCCGTTTTTATAAAAAGAATTCCCTCCATTTTAAGAAGAACCATAATTTGGAATACTTCTCATAATCCTTCCTTCTATTCGATTTTCACTCAATAATTAAGATGTAATAATTTTTATGTTTATTATGTAGCTTAATTTAATAGTAGTTATGAGTATTATTGCATGGTTATACTATATTTCAATGATCAGAATCTAGAAATATTGTTCTGATTCAATCAATTTGCAAATTGATTATTAATTGCAATAATAGAGTTGAACATTAAAAGAATTTTGTAATTGGATTGTTTAATTATTAATTCTCATAAGTGTATAATTAACTTAAAATTCATGCACATAGAAAATAATTATTTATTGTGATTAATTATCGTCAAATGTCTTTTGTTGTATTTATTAAACAAAGAAATTAGTACATCCATTAGATATATTTTAGAATGTGTTGTTGGTTTAGTTAAGCCAATACAATTCTTATGATTTTAAAGATGATTTTTCTAATATACCTAAAATAAAAATTTAGTTTAAAATGATGCTCGATTTTGTAATCGTTATAAACATTTAAGGAAGTTATATAATATTTAGATTTATTATTTCGCCTTGGATACTTAATGTAAAGTTAAGAATTAAATTATATCCTGATGTATTATTTGAACAAAGTGAATATAATGAGTAATTTTGTGATGCTGTTTGTAAACATGAACTCAAATNTTATATATATCATCAGATTATGTGAGCATTTATGATTAATAATTCAGAAGAATGCACAAATCTGAAAAAATGACCAACGAAGATCATAGATATTTGGTTAGTAAGAACCTCTAGTTTAACCTTCAGATCTTTCTTAAACTATCCTAAATCTAGACCATTCATAATGATTATAAATTTTTTAAAATATTTGCAGCTTTATATTATCATAATTCAATTTCTGAATTAATATATTCCAAATTCCGTGTCTTTTCTTTAAATTTAAAGTGAAAATATAAGAGCAGTAAAAAAATTATTAACAAAAGAGCATATGCCGATGGACCAAAGTTAATACGAAAATCTGAAGGTAGATTAAACGTAACTAAATATGTACCATTCGAAAAATTGTTTTAACAAACAATTGAAACATTTATCTTATCATTATAAAGAAGGCAGGATACATTCCAGGTACTTAAAGAGTAATTATATATAGATTAATTATAAAAAAAAAGGGATGTTACATGTTGATATTCTTAATTTACAATCATTGCATAAGAAAAGTTTGTCGTTATGAATGAACCATACATCAAAATTGGTTCTAACAAATTTTCAACTAAAAGATTATTAAAATAATAAGCTCCAATTATATTTTAAGAATTATTAATATTTTATGTAAAAAATTGTTGCAATAAAACCCCGTTTTTATAAAAAGAATTCCCTCCATTTTAAGAAGAACCATAATTTGGAATACTTCTCATAATCCTTCCTTCTATTCGATTTTCACTCAATAATTAAGATGTAATAATTTTTATGTTTATTATGTAGCTTAATTTAATAGTAGTTATGAGTATTATTGCATGGTTATACTATATTTCAATGATCAGAATCTAGAAATATTGTTCTGATTCAATCAATTTGCAAATTGATTATTAATTGCAATAATAGAGTTGAACATTAAAAGAATTTTGTAATTGGATTGTTTAATTATTAATTCTCATAAGTGTATAATTAACTTAAAATTCATGCACATAGAAAATAATTATTTATTGTGATTAATTATCGTCAAATGTCTTTTGTTGTATTTATTAAACAAAGAAATTAGTACATCCATTAGATATATTTTAGAATGTGTTGTTGGTTTAGTTAAGCCAATACAATTCTTATGATTTTAAAGATGATTTTTCTAATATACCTAAAATAAAAATTTAGTTTAAAATGATGCTCGATTTTGTAATCGTTATAAACATTTAAGGAAGTTATATAATATTTAGATTTATTATTTCGCCTTGGATACTTAATGTAAAGTTAAGAATTAAATTATATCCTGATGTATTATTTGAACAAAGTGAATATAATGAGTAATTTTGTGATGCTGTTTGTAAACATGAACTCAAATTTAGATCTGAATAATTAAAATTAAATTTATTAGTTAAATCACTATTTACAGTTTAAATGTAAAAGTTATTCTGTAAAGCAAAAAATTCGTTGTTTATTGAAGTAATTAAGGAGTAATTATGAATATTAGGAATGCTATTAGAATAACTAGAAATTTAAGTTAGACTGCAATATTTGTTTTATTAATACATGTTATTTAGATAACATTATCCGACTTATCTATCAAGAAATAGATTCATTGGATATGTGAAATTTTTAGATTGAGGAATTATATTATCTGGAGTTATATGAGCTGACATACTTGTTAAATTCTATATTATTGTTAAGTTTGAATAAAAAGTTATACTTTAATTTGAAGTTTATTATATGGCTGTGTCGTTTAATGCTGAAGTTACACTATAGTTATAAATAAAGTATGGGTAACTAATTTAATTATTAAAAGCTTAATTTTGCTGTTAAAAAGTTAGATTTACAATTTATTAATCACGAAGTATATATAAAGTATTATTAGAAATTATTATTGAATTTAAAAAAGAAAAGCCTTCTTTTATAAATTAAAATTACTCACTATTTTATATTGGTGAACTTAATTCTAACACATAATATAAACTCATATGATATGGAATATGAGGATTATAAACATAAACAGTGTAATTGCTAAAAGTAACATAGAAGAATGTGTTATCAGATTATATTTTTATGTTATTATCAAAATCTACCCTATGTAGATTCTTTACAAAATAGTATTTTGGTAAATATTACACATTCCAAACTTAAAAGCAAAACTACTTCCCATTATTACATAGATATGAAAATATTAATAATTCGCTAACCAAATTTATTAATTTGATTTGGAGATTAACATAAATAATTGTTATTGGTATTGGAAAACTATTTTAATCAATTGATATTATGATGACTTCATTAATATTATTTATGTATAAAAAAGAGGATTATAATTATACATTCATAGTAATTTATATAGGATCGAACTTAATATTTTTGAACAATTAATTTATTGACTATTAATCTAAAGTAAAGATGTTTTCATAATTTTATGTTAGTATTTGAATTTCTTTATGTGGTATTAAAATTATAATACTATTATAAGTTACTAAAAAATCTGAGAATGATTATTCAAACGTATAATTTGACTCAAAAATTTTAAGATTTTTTTCATACTAGTATTAAAACAAATAGATTGTATCATTTGAACCGAGTCCAATTATAATTAGTGGAGGATAAATACTGTAGGCAACTTATAAAGAACTTACATTTTCAAAGAAGTTAATTGAAATTGATTTAGAGTATTTATATGAATTGTTTTTGATCACGTAAACGAAAGAAAACAAATTAAGTGTCTAATTTCCATATCCAATTAAAAATTATTTTTAATCTTAAGGATACCTAATTTAATTTTTATCATTTTATGAATATATTGAAAGAAATGATACCAATTAATAACTTTAATTAGTTTCAAAAACTTTTTAAAAAGTTATTTATAAACATTAAAAATAATCATCATCTTTGTTTTGTGTATAATTTAATAATTGTCCTGAAAAACCATTAAACGAAGCGATGGTATTATATACAAATAAAGTTTAATACTAACTGAAATCTTAATTTAACATTACATATATATTTGTATCATTCTATGATAATACTTAAAGATAAAAATTAAAGTAATTGTAAATAAGGCGGTATTATCCAATATTCTAACATATAAGTTAAAAAGTACAATTATATCCTATTTATTCTTGGTTTGTGAAGTTGATTTATAAATTTGAGTATGCAATTTTATAAACTATAATATCTTAATTAAATGAAAATAATTCATTATCAGAATTCAAATATAACAGGGAATTCTGTTAAATAATTTGAACATATTTAAAATTTTCTTATTATGAGTTTGATTAGTTAATAAAAATTGTATCAATGGATTAATAGATTAAAAATTAGTTACTTTAGAGTATTTTCTAAATAGAGTGACCATATAAAATCCTATCTTTTTTTATCTATTTTAAGAAATTTTCGCATCCCTCGTAAGAAGCTGCCCATATTTCTTAATTTAAAACATATGACAATTATATTTGATCACATTAAGAATAACTCCATAAATTGTAATATACGTTAATAGTTGTAAAGACACCTTAGATGTCCAATTATATACTTTTATAATAAAATTGAGAATCTAGAGATATTGCCATCTAGAAAATCATATTGGAAGTTATTGCATAAATATTCGGACTTATTGTAATTGGGATATCAAAATCAACAAATAATTCCTTATTTATGCTACTTAAATTTTTAAATTACGATGAAAATAGTGAAAGTATTGAATAATTCTAAAAATATTAAGCATATACTAAAAAAGTATTTGTTCCATTTAATATAGATTGCATTTTAGTTTAATTTGGTAAAAATGATTGTACTGAATAAGCAATTATTTATTATTAATCTATTAATTGAAATAAAATGAATTCATTGTTGTAATAGCAATCTATTAAAATTGAAAACCAAAATGACAAATTGATATTAAAACAATAAAATTAAGAATCAATTTTCATAGTTGATGAACCAACTTTTTTAATCATCTAATTCTTCCACTAATATATAATTACTTCATTATCATTTGACAAAGTACCAAAATGTGTATTATTAGATGAAATTGATCTAAATTCTAATAATATACTTAATATTTTACAATTGCCTTATGTTTTGAATATTTCTTCGCATTAATTGATTACTTATATATTTTAAATTTTCGGATGTTATTTACACATGAATTATGTGTCTTTTTCCAAGGCCAGATTGTATTGATAAATTTCTCCAACTGTTGGATACAATGAAATTTCTTATTCTTATTTGAATTTAAAATTAGGAAACTTACCAATCACTATGATAACTAAAATTATTATCACCATCAAATGTAAAATTAATAATAAATATATTTTATTATAGGTATATTCATAACATCAATATTTATTTTATTCATTCACAGTCTTTACGATTAAAGTTTACATAAGTAAATGGAAGTAATTTCTTAATTTTTTTATAAAATAAATATAAAAACCTTAATTGGAATTTTTTTTAAATATAGAATTTTTCGATTTGTGTATTTTCAAATAATATACAGGATTTAATATTTAATATCAAGGTTCATTTTACCTCTTAAGATTAGTTTGAATAATATATTAAAGAATTTATGAGTATAAAATTTATATTAATCTATTTTCAAGCTCAATCAATTTTTTGATTAGATATATTTTTCAGTATAGTTTTTAAGCGTTTCCCAGTACTCTACTAATGTTTAGTGATTTATTTTATTAC